AATTTTATTAATTTTAATTAATTTAATTACAAAAATAATTTTTTATGAAAATTAAAATAAAATTTAATATTAACACAAAATTATAAGTGTAATTTTTTAGTTAAAAAAACATTTTCAATTTTTATGTGTTAAATTAATAAACTAAGCCCAGTATTAATAAAAAAAACGTATTAAATATTTGTCGAAATAACAACTTATATATAATTAATTATTAATTATAATTAATTATTTAATTATAATTTAAAATATATATCATATTTTTTTGAAACTTATAATAAAATAAAAATAAAAAAATAATAAATAAAAAGAAAAAATAATAAAAAAAAATAAAAGATTTTTAAAAAAAAATAATAAAAAAATAAAAACAATAAAATTATAATACAAAAAAAAAAATACCAAAAAAAAAATAAATAAAATAATATTAAATTGAAAACAATTATTGTATATAACAAAATTTATTCACATATTAAAAAAAAAGTTCTGAGAACATCTGTTAGATCTAAACGAAAAGAAAATGATAACATACATAATAGTTATTTATTTATATATATTTATTTATATATTCCTTTTAATATATAACAACGATTTTTTACAAATATACTCACTTAACTGTAACAACAATATAAAAGTCACTTAATAATTTAATAAATATTTTAGTAAAAAAAAATTAAGACCATAAGGCACTCAGATTCTCTTATAATTTAAGTAACAAATTTAATGAAATATGTCTTATAAGGAGATTTTATTAATATCGAAAGTAATTAATTTATAAATTAAATTTCTGCAATTTTAGGTTTTTTTTATTGAGTTGGTAACAAATTTTTTCCTAAAATATAAATAGAATTTATAATTTGAAGATTGATTCAAATTTTATTTATTTTAAAATTAATTATTTTGTTATCAATTATTTTATAATTAATTATTTTATAATTAATTATTTTTTAATTAATTATTTTATTATCAATTATTTTATAATTAATTACTTTATAATTAGTTAATTTAGTTACATTTTAAAATAATGAATTATACGTTATCGAAATGAGACCTATTCCTCTATTCAAAAAAAAAAAAATAAAATATAGAAGGAAATCATACGTCCTGACTTGTTGCACATATTCATGTGCTAATATAATTACTTTTAGTATAAAAAAAAAATATTTAGAATCTTATACGATTATGAAATATTTGTTAAGTACTACTACTCTCAGCACAGTTTAATTATGTCTACTTAACCTGTGTTTGCCCTTCCAGGCTAAAGTACTAATAATTACTACTGGTTTTAATTACTATAACCAATTAGGTACATCGTGATATTTGCTAATTCTAATATTTAACATTTTTATAATAAACTAGAAATATCTACATAATGACTTAATTTTAAATTAAATATTATCATGAGCTTCTTCTTTAATAGTAGTTGGTATAACACTACCCAAATGGATGTTACGCATGGAATTTCCGATTTGCACAAAAGAGGTCCCTGATGACGTTAACGAGGTAGCATTGCCAACACGTCTTACATTATCTCTATTGTCAAAATTAGTTTGAAAAGTATTTTTAATGAAGGCATTTACTTGCTGTAGATCAGTTTCGCTCAACTTCCTTATATTATTCAAAGTCTCCTGAAAATTACTATTTGGTCGAGTTGCATAATTAATATTTGGAAAATCTGAATTCGCATCAAATACTTCCTCCAATGATTGATAGATTTTGCGTTTAAATATAATTTTTTGACGTGCATTCATGATCTTCATATCTGGTAGTAGGGTGTCGAGAAATTTTACATCTATATCGGCGACAGGTAATGACCAACTATCATCTGATTTACTCATTTTCAATTCGCTACCGGAATGTTGGAGTTGCTCTTCAATAGAACGTTTACGCTTTCTGGCTGGTAATACGCGTTCATTACTTTTAGCTGCTACTTGATTATTATTCTGTTGAGCAGTATTAGTTATACCTTGTAAGTCTATGCCCATATGTTCAGTTGAAATATTTTCTAATAAATCATATTCCATATCTGAATCAATTTTAACCTGGGCCATGGGATTTGAACTGTCATTGTCTTCATATAACAATGTTACACAATCTTCTGGATCCTCTGTTAGTTCCACTTCAACATCATTTGGTGCAATATCATCCGCCTCTTCATTCTCTATATGTAACATTACTCTTCCTTTAATACCCCCTTCAGTCATGGGTTTCAATAAAAAGCGTAACTCTTCATATAAGTAGTAAGGCTTTACCCGATTCGGACCACTATACGTTTTGTAAATATTTACAGATCGAGCAAATGCTGCACGTATATTACGCCAGCGTTCCTTACATGAAGCAACTGGAAATTTAAAACAAGAAATTTAATGTCAATAAATACAATATTTTATGTCACTTTTTCGAACAACGATGAATTACACCACTCAAGAACAGTCACAGCCAAGAAAAAATCTAGAAGTTATCATTACGAAGGCAGGAAAGTGGAATAACAACTACTGGGGTACATTTGGACAAATATCAAACGAACATATACCTGCTAGTATAGTAGTTAGCAAGTAATTCCGGGACGTATAGCAGATCATCCCAAAAATGTTTAGAATCGACACATTGAAAAAAAAAAGTTGCTCCGCCTCGGCCCAGACTAATTTCAATCACCACACACAAACCACCATCATTATTTTTGATCGCAAACTACTCCTGCCAATTCCTAGGTTATATATCAACAATAACTATGACTAAGTCATTTTAATCTTCTGCTTTTCTAAGTGTATTATTTTACCATATAAATATGTTTCGTAAAATTTTGATTTACAACTTTTTAAAGTTTTAAATATCTTATAAGAACATCGCTAAATTAGCTCATCCCTCCAAACTTAGCAACGACATATTATTTATAGAGTATCGATGTCTTCAACCTTCAAAACGTATTTAAAATATACAATCCATAAGCACATTAAAAAAATTCAAATAAAAAGATCTGCTTTTGGTCTAAAACTATCTGTATAAATAGTATAAAACTATCTGCACTGACAACTGCCATTAGAGATATAAAGAAACATACATAAAACAAATCAACTTGTTCTGACAATAATCTACCAGAATTTTTAAAGAATATGTATTAGGTGTAGTAAAAAGAAATCCATTTCCTAATATATGGCTAGTTATCTGTATTCCGCGTTGTGTAAGTCCAATCGGGTTACGCTAGATTGCATTAGAAAGATGAAATTTTGTACCAGAAAAAACCGTTGACAATTTGGTAATTGGTTGACTCTATTTTGTTTGAGAGCGTGTCAACGATGGACACTAGTAAAGAGAAAATACGTCATATTTTTCAGTTTTTTCGTCAAATTTAGCATGGCGGCTGAAAATGTGAATAGTGTTTATGGTCCTGACAGTATCAACTGTAACAGCCCATCATGCGCAATTTTGGTTTCGTTTCGATTCCCGATTCTGTTCCCGTAATTTCTATGTCAACAATGCACCATACACTAGAAGTGTTCCATCAGCACAATGCTAAGTCATACAGCTTACTTAGGAAGTTCTTATGCATCCACCTAATAGTCCAGACCTGGCGTCTAGTGATTACTACATGTTCCTGTCCATGTTGAACGATTTTTCTGGTGAAGAATTCGCCGTATATTACAAATCTATATTACACATATATACATATATTACACGTATATTTATATACATGTATATGGTATATATTTATATTAAGTAATTGGGTAGCAGTTTATGTACTTGGGTAACAGTTTTCTAACCAGATTGCTTATGGTTAGAATAAATTCACATTTGGGGCATGTTGGTTGTTCATCCCTTTTAAGCAAATGGATGTGAGTTAGGTTGGAATTTCCTAGTATTGCTGTTATGATATTATCATATATATATTTTGTTATTATATGAAGAATAGATGCTATTGTTTGAATATTGAATGTATTTAATTATAGTACAAAATATAATAATATAATATGAAACAATAGTATGAAAACAATTAAGGAGTAGGTGATATACTCTTTATAGCATCTATTCTATTTTTAAAAATTTAGTAGAATGATCTAAAGCCATGGCAACCAAACTTTTTGTTGAGAGAGAAAGTAGATTCTTCATCAACATTCTTCATCGTCAATAAGTGGAAAGCAAACATTGTTTCGAGTCTTATAAGGCATGCACAAGTCACTAGATGTAAACCCGGATAATTTTTTGGCATATTAATATGCTTGGGAGACATATGTCTATCAATAACTAAGTGTTAATACATTCTAAAAAGTTTTCCTTCGTAAATGATTGAAGATTGGATAATTTCACATTTGTGAAGGCTTGCAATCTTTCAAATAATATATAACGCAAATGGAAAAAAGTAGAGGCTGTCCAATTTGTGACAAAATGTGACATGTGAGGAAGGGAGGTAGATTAGTGTTCTATATTACGTTTATTCAATTATATGCCATTTACTTATTTTAATATGTACATATAATTATGTTTTTTATATAATGAAATTAATCATAACATTGTTTACTTTGCCTCACAAAACTGATTATTATTATAACATATAACGTTAACGTCAACATATAATTAAATATCATTTACTTAATATTTATGCACATTTAATTTATTCTCGTTTTGTTTTTATTATTAATAAGTATTTATTTATATTTGATTTCCGTTTTTTTTAAATTATATTTTTATCGTTCATTTTATTTTTTTTCAATTATAACATTTTCTTTGTAAATGCCTAGGCCTGACAATATTAAAATAATCTAATATGAAAGTGAACGAACTGATGAAACTAGCGGACATCTCAAATATAGATCTTCTACGAACTGACGAGCCTAGCGGATACCCCAAAGATATATATTCTACGAACTGATGCGCATAGCGGATATCCCAAATATAGATCTTAAACATTGTTTTAAAATTTTGGTTTTAATAAAGCGGTATGGAGTAACAGAACAGCTACTACTTGAAAAAATCGGAAAGCTCAACCGCCACTAAAATCAACAAGTATCACAAGAATGTATAGTGCGTCATTTCCATGAGGGCGAGTAGAAGTGTACGTCTACAATTTATGGTATAGATTCTAAAATGACACAACTTTGCGATATGTTATGTTTGAACCTTCCTATACGATTCATTTGTCAATCATTTGTGAATTCCTGATAAATCTTAAGAAGTTTCTAAAAATTTTTTAGTTAGTTCAAAAAGATTTATTTTCAAAAAGGAAGGTAACTGTATTTTCTTAACAATTGCAGTTTGATGGGTTCAAATTGTATATCAAGTTTTCTAAAATAAAAAAACAAAAAACTTAAGATTCAAGTAAAAAAACTCCAAGTAAAAACAGAATAATTTTAGAAATTGGTGTTTGAATATTTTAAAAATATATATTAAACATAATAAATTAAATATTATTTGAAAATCAAAAACTATCTTTGTCCTAAGACAAAGAATCTATTTCACGTAAAAAGGAAGTAGGAAATAGCCAAATCCAAAATTTATTTTATTGGTCCCAAAAGTTTATTTGATTTGGACATATTTTCAATTCTTTAGAAAAAGGTCTTATAAATAAATTATTTCAAATTTAAAATACAAGTCAAACGCCCGACATGTATTTTTACTAAGCGAATTCTTGAATTGACTACGGTTCCAAGATTTCTTTTGTTTTGGACATAAGTTCAATTCTTTGAATATAAAACGGAGTACTAATGAAGAAATCGTCAAATCCAAAATTCAATTTATCAAGTGAATTCTCTAACTAACTATACGGTTCAAAAATTTTGTTTAATTTTGTCATATTTTCAAGTATTTAAATAGCAAAGAAGGTAATAGAGAAGTAATTTCTAAATCCAAAATTTTATTTTTTATAAACTCAATTCTTTAGCTGATTATACGACCCATTAGCTATTGCTTTTGATTATAATTTCAGTTCTTCGAATAAAAAGGTACTTATAATAAAAAACGTACCAAATCCAAAATTTTTTTTATCGAACCATATTGTCTAAGATTTTTGATTAATTTGATCATAATTTCAATTCTTTGTATAGAAAATGAAATGATAGGATATTTTCAAATTAAAAATTTTATTTTTTATAAACTACATTTTTGAGCTGATTATACGGTCCAATAATTTTGTTTGTTTGGGCATAATGTCGGTTCTAGAAAAGATAAAAAAAAACAAAAACCAGTATTTTTTTATCAAACAAATTCTTGGACTAACCATACGATTCAAGAATTTTAATCAACGTGATCTTAATTACAATTCTTTGTATAGAAAAAGATGTAATAGCGATGAAATTTCCAAATAGAATTAGGAATAACAGTGAGGAAATTTTCAAATCTAAAATATTTTTTTATTAATTGAATTATATCGAGCAAGTTGAGTCCTTCAGATATCTTGGACCAGTAATAAACCCAACCAATAACTGCATTCATGAAATAAATGTAAGAATAAAGGCAACAAATAAAAACTTTGGTGGCCTATTTAAAGCACTAGGTGCAAATATTAAGAATACATAAAATCTCCGATCTTAATGGTAGCAAAGTGTTGGCAGAAGCACTAAACATCAAAACGCGCAGAAAAGAAATAATAGCGGTGCATAGAAGGGCGGGTATACGTATCACATTAGCATATCGCACTGTCTCGGCGGAAGCAGTTTTTGTAATAGCAGGTGTAACTCAAATTGATCTTCAAGCAAAGGAGCGTCAAAAAGTATATAACAGGAAAACAAACGGCGAATACACTCAACAAATGGCAAGAGAAAATCAGGACCAAACCATCGAAATGTGGCAACAAAGATGGAACAATAGCACGCAAGGAAGATGGACAGCTAGATTGATACCAAATATAATCACTTGGCTCAAACGAAAATCGGGAGACACAAATTACTATCTCACTCAGATGCTGACCGGACGGATACTTTTGTAAGTACCTATACCGCATGGGAAAAATGGATTTGCCCGACTGCATTTATGGCGATGGAGACTGTGACGACGCAGAGCACACCTTCTTTTACTGTTATAGGTGGCTCACAAATAGAGAAGAGACAATAGTGCAGATTGGACCTATAAATCCCGAAAATATAGTGGAAAAGATGAAAGCGAAGCCAGAGAGTTGGCGAACGATAGAGTCACATGTGATTCAAGTTCTCAAAACGAAAAAATTAGATCTAGGAAGGAAAACTAGAAGCAAGAATAAGAAATATAATAAATAAAGTGGACACCAAGAAAATGCTGCGAAAAATGGAGGCAAATCGAAAATCAAGAGAGCGTGGCTTGAAATGTCAACATAAAAGAGACCCTCCTCGAAGTAATGCGAAAGCGGTTCCGAGGTTGAATAAGTCTCGCTGAAGAGGGAGTGGTTTAGTGCGTATACTATTAACATATTAATGTTAGGGAGTCGGACACACCATTCCGGTCGGTTTGCTGCTGTGCTGGTGGTGCGATGATGAAATTCGTTGACTTAGACTATAAAAAACTTGGATGAAAATAAGCTAGATATCTTCGAACGCAAAATTATACGTCGCATACTTGGTCTAATTAGAGAAAAAGACGACACCTCTCGGGTATGATTTAATGAAGAATGTCAAAAAGAGGTAGGAGAACCAGCAATAAGCAAGAGAATAAAACTAAAGCAATTACAATGGGCTGGACATATTCAAAGAATAAGCATAGATAACTCAACAAAAAAAAATATTTCAATATGCACCAGACTGAAGAAGGAAAAGAGAGCGTCTGAGTTTACGCTGGATAGACAATGTGGATCAAGTAGCGCAACAGCTTGGAAGAAGAAACTGAAGAATAATAGCAAACGCCAGAGATACGTGGAGGAATTTTAAAAGTGAGGCCAAGATTCAACTAGGATCAATGCGCCACTAATAATGACGATGAATTCTAGAATTGTCCAAAAATTTTATTTGATTTGGACATAATTTCAATTTATTGTATAGAAAAGTAAGTAACATAATAGTGAGGAAATTTCCAAATCAAAAATTTTATTTTTTAGAAACTTAGTACTTGAGCTTATTTTACGCCCAAGAGTTTTATTTAATTTGGACACATTATTAATTCTTCGAATAGAAAAGTGGCTAATAGTGATGAAAATATAAAATTTAATTTTTTATTAAGTAAATTTTTCAAACAGAATTTATTTACCTTCATACAGAATTTGTTCTTCTACACAAAAAAAAAAATTATAATAAACACATTTAGCACACCTTTAAAAAAATATCTCCAACACAATAATCAAAAAGTTCTATTCAAAGCTCACAGCAGAGAATATTTCACTCATTTGCTAACAAAAAAGAAATATTAAAATATTTAAAAAAAAAAACTGAATATAAATACTTTTTATAATTATTCTGCTGGTTTAAGCATTGTTGTCTGTACGAATTATCAATACGTGAAATATCACATAAAATATTGCTTACAACGTCATCGCAACAACAACAACAATTTCTACACAACGAATGAATGTTCATGTTTGAGCAAGAAAACGACGTATGAATAACAAAAATCTCATCACAAACGTTTTCATTGAATTTAGTACGATTTTCTATTTATCACGAAGTGAAGTAACTGTAAACAAACCACATGCACACACACACACACTCAAATCTACACTCCCCACTAAAGCGAAATCACACACACAGTGCACAAACTTGCTTTGGCTCTCATAAACCTGTCACATGCGAGAGTACACACTTTCTCTCTCTCGCTCTCTCTCTCGCTGTATTCAATTCACTTTTATTTACCTGTATCATTGCATTCCTTGGCTATTTTCGCCCAGGACTTCTCGAGGATGTGCTTTCTCGCATAATCGCTGTGGCTACGATCATACATCCATGGGCAGCGTTGCACCAAACGACAAAGTTTAGCATTGGCCAAGTAAATTTGATGGCGACTGTCTGCGACGAGATCTGCTGCGTTAATTGCTGCTGCTGCCGCACTAGCTGCTGCTGTGGTGGTGGTGCGATGATGAAATTCGTTGGCAAAAGCATTATTATTGCTAGTGCGGGTATCTTTCTGTGCACCCGCGCTTATCGACGTGTTTAAATCTTTTTTCGGTGGCATTGTAACCGTTTGGTGATTTATTATTATTAAATTTTTTTGAGCAACAACAGAAAATGTTTGAGAAAAAAAACCAGTTTCAATTATAATTCATATCACTGACACCCATTCGAATGTACACATGCATAAAGTGTACGTACTTTTGGTGTGCTTGAATAAAAATTATCACACAAGTTGGTTGGTTGGTTAACTGAGCACAGCACAGCACACCACAGTTTCTTGCTTACACAAGCTGTTATCTTATGCTTTGTCTTTGTCGATGATCCGCTTATACGAACGAGTGAGTACTTCTCGTGCTACACTCAACACATCATCACAGCTATGACTATGGCTGTGGCTATGGCAAGGCAAATACTAACCAACAACACCCGTTACCACTGTTACTACAACGAATGCTCTCAATAAACTAAAAATCGAACCTGCTTGCGAGCGTCAAATGAGTAATGTTAATGATTACTCGTATTTATTATTTTGTAGGCTTGCTTTAAATGTTGTTGTTTGTTGTTATTTTGTTGCTTATTGCTCGTTGCTCGTTGCTTTGTTGTTCTATCATTGCTGAAGAGCAAATTCCAGTAATAAATTTTACAACTCTGGCGAGATATCGTTGCAATTGCTGGCCGAAGCGTTTTTGTATTGAACTTTTTTCTTCGTGATTGTTTTTGTTATTGTCATCAGTACCCACCATTCAACCACTGCGCGAATGCACGTACATATGTCTACACAATACATAATACACAATATTTTCTTATAAGATGTTGGCGATGACGTCGTCGATTTGTGATTATTTCACTTCATTGTGACTAATTCTTATTTGTAATTGATTTCTTATTTGCTTTGTGCTTATGTTGAAAAATCATTTTCTTATTTGCTACTTAGATCGTTTTATTTTTTTTTTGTTTTAGATTTTCATAATAATTTGCATATAAATTGATTTTTTTTTTTTGTTATGGAATCAAAGTACAAATAATGTCTATTAAATATTATTACTTCAATGTTACTATTTAAACTTATTAAAAACATTAAATTTATATGTAAAATAACGATTATAATAAGAGAATTCAAATATCGTAATATCACATATCGTATTAACTTGTGGATCACATAAATTTTAAGATTTTCTTAAACTAAAATATAAATATATAAAATTATTTTATTATTTTTTTAATTATTTTATTATTACAATGATTTTTTTATATGTTTTAAATCTGGCTGTCCTTAATCTGTCCCTTCTTGTTAAAAATAATTAAACGTATAATATTTTTTATTATACTATATATTTCGACTCTCTTTGAGAATCATCATCAGTTTTACGATACATCATCCTATTTGTTCCATCTCTATATCAGGGCTGTCCAGACCATATGCGATCGCGGGCCTATACAAATTAATGTACAGATTGAAGGATCGCAGAAATAAATATATACGTTCATAGTTGTTATATTAAATACGATTATAATGTTAAATTCAGTTTTATTAATTTAAATTCATTTATTTGGTATACCATAAAAATAAAATAAATTAGTTTAATTTAATGAGTAATTATAGTAGATTAAAAATATGTAGCGGGCCGCACAAATATTAGCCGTGGGCCGCATGTGTCCCGCGGGCCGTACTTTGGACAGCCCTGGTCTATATTGTACTCACATACCTGAAATCGACTAAAGTTAATGAAACTACTAAATGTTGTCCTTTATAGTTATAATAATCAACTTTCAACATTTTTCCAGATATAAATGGTGTTTGGAGCATGTAATTTTTAATATTCGATTTGTAAGCAAAAAACATATGATTTCCTTAATTTAGGGTAGTATGAACACTTTCGAAATTAACTTAATTTCATTAAGTTAATGACGGCCAAATAAAGGAAATTTGGCTGTCTGAATATAGTATTAGTGGATTTTAGTTTTATAAATTATTTTTTTTCACTCTATTTCAAATTGAAAACAGTTCTTTAATTTGCACTACTTTTAAAATATTTTCCCGGTTTTATTAAAATCAACTGCCACTGACATATATTTAAAAAAATGTCACATTTTTGTTATCTCAACTTTATCTTTTGCTTTAAATTTATCTTACGCATAGTTGCATTTAAAATGTCCTTTAATTTAAGCCTTCATTTCAACGAAAATGAACGTTTCGCTGAAACGAAGACGAAATTAAAATTTTTGAGAAATTAAGGTGGGTCTGAACATAGTATTAGTTAACTTTATAATTAATTTTAATGTTAACTCACAAATAAATAAATAAAATAAATAAATACCAAGCTTTGACATTATTAAAAATTTTACTGTTTATCAATTATACTTCGCTTAACGGCGTAGTAGTAGAACGTACGCTTTGCGTCCCGGAAAAGTAGAACGTAAAGCAAAAAACCGGATAACAAATCAATTATTTACAATAATTGCTGAAATTGGAGTAATTGTTCCTACAAGTCGCAAATTTCAAACATAAAATTTATTATTATTAATAAAAGAGAACAATAAAGAAAAATGAAAGCATTATTTAAAAATAAGAAAAATAATAGATCAGAAGATATCTTATCCCAATAAAATGCTTCCATCCCCAATTCCTGATATTTGCTTTTAATGCTGCCATCCTCCTATCTGCTTCTTTTTGCTTCTTTTCTATTGAAGACCAACTAATGATTGAGTTTACTTTATCTTCGTCAGGATGATTTCTACTGGTTTAACAATATATATATAGCGAGTAAAGCGACTAGCATGAAAGTTGCTAAGTGTTCCATGTGGGCAGTTTCACACCAAAAATTTACCTAACTCTATCCTCTTTAAGTGTGTAAACAAGAAATTATATGATTCTACAGTGGACGCTCACAAATGAGATCGTCCATATATTAATTTCCCAACACTAACTAGACTTTGGTAAGATTTTTGCATCCACATTCACTTTTTCACTAACCATATATACACATATGAATGTAAATGTATCAGCACATTTTTGTTATTAGCGACAGAATTTTAAAATAATATACATATTCACTTTTCAACATAAAAATATTGCCAAATTCTTGCTAGTATAGACGCTGACTCAAAATCTGCTCTTATAATGTATTGAATATTTTTAAACCAAAACTACGCACTTTTTTCTTTGCTTGATGCAAAACGACTTGGCATCTTAAGCATTTTTACTCATCAGTGTCTATGTCGATTCTCCATTATATTATGATAATACGTTTTATATATGTACATACATAAGTATAATTTGAATCTCAACATATCTTTCTGAATCAAAGCAAAAAATAATATCTTCACTTATTAAATACAATATTAGTTGTAATAAATTAAGTTATTTATCTTTTTTTTTTATTACTCCTTTTATCACATTACTAAAAAGTCAAAGCTAATACTTGATCAACAGTAAAACTGAGAACGGGGAATCACCATATTCGTTAAATAATTTTTTGCGGGTGCTGCAAATAAAACCGAATGGAGTGAGTTGTTATAAGCTTTCATAAATTATAACAACTTGAAAAATAGTAGTTTTAATTTTTATGCATCTTCTGTTCCAACGGATTTTATAATGCAATTCACCACCCGACCCTCCCATATATGTACGTACGTATCTCAGGAAACATTTTGACAACAATTGTACTTACAAAATATATACATACATAAGTTGGACCGATGAGAGATCAGAAGCTGTGACAGTCGTGTATAGTAGAATGAAGAGAAAATGTAGACCTTCAATGTAATGTACTTCCTCAAATCTACCATAGTTTTTAACTTAATGCTACTACATTTAATTTAGTCGACTAATATCAATCAGTTGAAATCATAATTTCTTTCAATGTTCAAAGAACTTTTAATCTAAACATTTCGGTATTACTTTAATTAGCTGGTGTAAATACCACAAAACTAAAGAATATTCAATATATATTTTTCATATTATATATTTATATTATTGATTAAAGTTTGTTGCAAATTATTTAGTAAATAATTTAAACTAATTATTCTGAAGACCGAGAGTAATAGTAAAACAAGACTTTTACTACCAGAGATAATACTCAGTATGCATATCTGTTTTTTTTTATATTGTGATTTTACGTCAGTTTAACGTATTTTTAATTTCTATTAAGGAAAATTATAAATAACTCTAAAGCGCAATTTAATTTTTTCTATTTAATAATATGTTAATTTAATGCATTCAGCTCCATATTAGACCGTTTATGGCAATCTTTAATCTAATGGCGTTTTCGATTGGTTAATCTGGATGCAATCAAGATTTATTCTCGGTCAGTCAAATTTTGATACCCAGTCGAACATTTTTAGAGTAATCTAACATTTTTGTAGTGGTATTAGTAGACATTTATATTTTTCATAAAAGCATATGTATTGAATCAAATTACACTTTATTTGTTAAATCATATAAAACAACTATAAATTATATTGAAAATATTTAAATATCCAGAAAACGTCCTCACCAAAGTAGCGGAAATAACCAATGCAATTCTTAAATTTGGGTACTTCCCTATTTGTTGGAAAAAAGCGAAGGTCATTATGCTTCCTAAACCAAACAAAGACCTGAAGTTCCCACAGAATTGGCGTCCCATCAGCTTGCTTCCTACTCTGGGGAAAGTAGCAGAAAGAGTCATTCTGGCAAAATTGAAAGACCACCTAAGCTCGAATAATATAATCCCTGATGAGCAATTTGGCTTCAGAGACAACCACTCAACGGAATTACAATTGGCCAAAATAGCACAACATATACAATCTGCACTTAGAAGAAGGATGTCGACTGGTCTTATCTCTTTTGATGTCGCTAAAGCCTTTGACAAAGTCTGGCACTCGGGCCTAATTGTGAAAATGGCTGCTCAGAACTTTCCGCCATCTATTATCAAGCTCATAGGCAGTTTCTTAAATAAAAGGTCGTTTCAAGTCAAAGTGAACAATTCAACCTCTTCAGTAAAATCGATACAGGCTGGAGTAC